GATTAATCTTCACATATTACGAAATAGAGCTATATAAGCACAGTGCAAAATCAGAAGAAATTTTGAACATCAGAAAGCTGTTTTACCCATTCTATATCACGTATGATATCAGCACCACGGTACAGCATTGACCTTAATATTTCTGTAGTCATGATCAGACAAGATGCCTCTGGTCTTATGCTAACATCACCTGTGAGAAGTCCTACATCAAACTTCCCACAAAAGTCTCTGTATTTTTGGTTGCTGATGGTTTTAATTGGGGCAGTATAAACAGCTCGTGTACAATGCTGAAGAGAAGGACATTAATCAGTCAGGGAAAAGAATATAATAATAAGAACACGATCAATGTTCTAGAATTCTCTACCTTGGTGGCCAAAGCGAATGCATATTCTGCAACAACTGTCTTCCCTGCTGATGTATGGGCTGCTACAAAAACAGACTCCCCCTTTTCTAAACAACAGATGGCCTGTAGGCATAAGATACTCGGTTATTTACTGACTATTCACATATAACAGGATACCAAGCATGTTCCTCAAACATCCGCAAACTAAAAAATAGCCAAGGGAAGTACCTCCTTCTGAAAGATGTCCAGTTCGAAAGGGAACTCCATCGCCATGTCAGGAACAAGCTCATGGAATCGGTCTGCAATGTCTTGGCTATCTCCTTTAGTGGCCCATCCCTAAAATAAGAGCAAACTATAAATCATGTAGATGGGAGGGAATATGGAATCTCCAGATGCAGAATCCGCTTTGTTACCTCTTTCCGTAATTGCTTTCCACTGTTACCAGTATTTGCTTCATCCGACATTATTGCTGTTTTAGCTGATGACAGAATCTCATCCAGCACGGTGATGTCAGTCTCTGACCCCTTGCTGGTTTTGCTACCTTTGCTCGCTTCAGGTTCGGCTTCAGCTTCTGCTTTTGGAGACTCAGATCCCGCGGAGCGATCTTCATAACATTTTTCGTTATCAGAACAAAGTTAAAGACAAATGAAGATAAAGGAATAAAGTATAAATGGTGTGAGGTGTCACGCACCATCTCCCTCTACTTCGAAGAGGGTATCTTCTTCCAAAACCGTCTTGAACAGATCATCAAATTGTATAGACAACTTGTTCTGGGAATATCACCAACACAAAAGACAGTAAAAACGAATTTATCAATCACTACAACCAAATATAAAAAGCAAGTTCACATAAACTAACGACATTGATCCACATACCGACTTTTCATCTGAAGCATTTCCATGTGAACTCTGATCCTCGTAAACTTTCCATGTTTGGGGATATGGCTTTAAACGAAAACAGGATGAATCAATCCACACTGAATGATATGTGAATGTATTAAATGAAAACATAAGATGTGATAATATAAGATACCATGAGATCTCCAAGATCTAAACTCTGCTTGAAACTAGGAGGAACGTTCTGAGCAGGACCTCCGTGGAGCAATTCCTGAACCCATTGGCCATCACATACACCATCTGGAAGGATTCTCTCTGAAGACTGTGAATCTTCCAAGCCACCTGGACGGAAAGGACGATTATTGACACTCCCTCTCAGAAAATCCTTTGGAGGCCCCACCATTCTCGGAAAAAATCCAGAATCTTGATCCCCGTACATTTGTTCTGATAGATCCACCTAAGATAATATAACAATCCATTTCTCCAACTAGAGTCAGAAACAGAAGTCTAATAGCTGGTACTGACTCATGGATACCATCGCTATCTAAAGGAAGAAAAATGAGTTACCTCCACTGACTTGGGCTCCCAACTTCCGTTTTCAGTATCCATAAACTGACGCCTGAAAGGCAATTCCCAAGTTGGAACAACAACGGACCTAGGCAAAGAAGGTTGAAGAGGCACCTTCACCCTAGCAAACCAATCAAAATCCCACTGATTCTCTGCGTTTTCAGCAGAAAACTGTTCAGGTTCAAGTCTTGGGAGGAGATATTTCTCCTCGATATGTTCTTTAATCGATTCTTTTGTTTCCTTGGCAAATGCAGGAGGCTGAGAAAATACACATATAGAGAAACGTAGATGAGCATTAAGTTACAAAGATTTAACACCATATGAAAACATTCGAAAAAACTCGGCTACTTTTAACCTAATCAACAAACACTATCTAACAATTCCCTAATCAACAAACACTAAGTTAAATCAGAGTAAGGCCTATTGAGCAAATACACATACTTAGTCAGATGCTTAGTTATCAGCAAAATCAACTGATTTTCAGTAAACGCAGCAAACTGGATCGTAAATCAGTGCCCAAGCAAATCTAATTTTGAACCCATGCTAAATTTTACTAAACCTTAACACGAACGGAAATCAAACCAATCGGAAAGAACACTCACGGAGACGAAATCGGGAAGTGAGTTCACTACGCCGTCGCTCTCGGTTGTGTACAGAGGCTCGAGGCGGAGGTGACCGCCATGACCGGAGATTCCGACTCGGAAGGTGAGCTCGTTGGCTGCTGCAACTCTGTTCATTCTCTGTGCCTAATCTACTTCGCATTCCCTTTTCTTCCTCGCCGTGTCTGTCCGTAATGTTTCTCAGCGAACGGTTTGCGATCCATCCGGTGAAAAGCTACAGCTATTGAGTTTATGAGAACCCTTTCACTCCGGTTTGAGTTCTGCGGATCGAAAACGCCATGCCGTTTAATTGTTACAAATGAGAAACGTGTGTTGTCTTTTTCATCTCTAATGGGCTTTAAAATAGGCCCAATTTCATTAAAGTGTTTCTTTTGCGAATATAATTCCTAACTAGATTTTGACCCGCGCAACCGCGCGGGTGTTTGTATTTGTTTATAGTTAGTTATATAAACATTTTGTTTTCACTTGTAAATTGGTATATATTAAGTAATTCACATATTTACGATATGTATAGTAAATGTTTTTCAAAAATAATAATATTATATAATAAGTGTTTTAATCAAATAGATTGTTTCAAATTTTTCGAACATGTGTTTGTTTCTTCTTCTATATTTTATTGTTTGTTAGATTAGTGTATCATTTTTAGATAAATTAATAAAAATAGAGCTTGATTAAATATTAGTATACTTTAATTTTCAAAGATAATATAAACTTCGAAGAATTTTTTGCTAAAAACTAAACTTATAGCTTCATAAATTAATATTATGAAGAATTTTATTAAAAAGAATCTTTTAAACAATTTCTTTTTTCAAAACAATATAATTTTTCAAATTTACATCGAAATAAATTAATCTAATATATATAGTATGTAAATTTTGTTAGGGTATATAAATATTTCATATTACTAATCTGTGATTTTTGTTAATATATTATGGATGCATTTAACTATTATTGACATATTACTTTATAAATAATAGAAGATTCCTAAACTTATATCTATTGACATATTTTGCGTGACTAAATTGGAAGGTGTGGGGTAATTTACCAAAACCAAATTATTAAGTGTATCTTTGTTATTATATATATGATTTTTCATAAGATATAATAATGATAAGATTATTAGAGAATTAATGTAACATAACTTTCTAGTAATAGTCCATTTTTTAAAAAATCACACATGAAGTCAAGTCATGACTTCTGTTTTAATATATAAGACTAGATGATAATCCGCGCCATGCGCGGGGTGAACTTCTTAAAAATATGTATTGAAATACATATTTTGCTATGAATAACCTTTTTACATTTGATTAGGGATGAGTATTTGGGTACCATTTAGTTCGGTTAGATTCTGTTTGGTTTAGATCTTTGTGGTTTGATTCGAATCTTTGCAGGTTCGGATAACTCATTTTTTCTTTTTTAAAGATTAAAATTCATAAATACTTTAAATTTTTCAAAATCTAAAAAAAAAAAATATATAACATATAAATTTGAAAAAACAATGTCAAAATACTTAAACTCAACACAAAATTGGTTTATATTTGGACAGAAAATCATTAAATATTTCAAATATTTTTGGTATTTGGAGTATCGTTTAGCTATTTTAAAAATGTACCTTTAACTATTTTATATATTTCTAAGTATTTTGGAAATTTTTAAAAAATCTCATGTATTTTGTATATTTTTAGATGTTAAATTTAAAAATAATTGATATATTTAAGTATATAAATATGGTTCGAGTACACTCGGATACCCGAAATATTTCCATTCACTTTTGGTTCTCTAGATACCAAAATTTTGAATACGTTTGGATATTTACCAATTTTTGGTTAAAATTTTTTACTACTTTTTGGATTAGATTTAGTTCGGTTATATGGATTCATTTTTTTGCCCAACCTTATATTTTTTATTGTAACAAAAATTTAAACGAAAGGAATGATGGTTCATATGGATTTTGGGTATGCAATAGTTTTTAAACAAAACACACTCTTTATGCGCGATTCATTTAGTTAATCATTATGAACTGTTTAAGACACATTAGAAAAACGATTGGCTAAACTAAAAAACGTTATCCTTGATCACAAAATTTTCAATGTGAGATTTTTATCATTTTTAGTAATTTATGATCGTTTGAAAATATTTAAAATATAACATATAAATAAATCTATTTTTTTATTATATGATTAATGTGATTTTTTAATTTGTTTTAAATAATATAAAATTAAATAAAAATTAAAGACGATAAAAAATTGTTATAAAATCTTTATTATTCATAAACATTAATTGTGATATATATGTTAATCATATTAGGTAATTCCGTAGCTTTTATCTAAGAAAAAAATAGTAAATATTCTTTTGTACGCTACTAATTAAATATGATAGTTAGTATAATAAAAATATAACATATGTTTAGTTAGACCAACATATTTCTCTAAGAGTTATGAAAATCATTCTCATTGTGACACGTGGCTACAAAAAAATGTTGTAATGCTCCATGATTAATATATAGGGGATTGAAAACAGAGTAATAAATCTCTTTCTTTAACGTCAGCTTTTTCGCTAAGTCAATTTAAACCTCGTCCAGCTTTTTCGCTAAGTCAATTTAAACCTCGTCCAGCAAAGCCAAACTAGTTGAGAATGGATACGTCTGAAGGAAGTTCTTCTTGTGCACAACAACTAGAGAAGATTGAGATTCAGAACAGCCACAACGAGAAGCTCGTTGGTCTGCTTCACGAAACTGGTTCAAGAGAAGTCGTTGTCTTGTGCCACGGATTCAAATCTGACAAGGACAACACAATCCTAAAGAATGTGGCTGATGCTCTAGAGAAAGAAGGGATCACCGCTTTTCGTTTTGATTTCTCTGGTAACGCAGAGAGTGAAGGCGGTTTCAATTACGGTAACTACAATTACGAAGCTGATGATCTACACTCTGTCATCCAACACTTCTCTACCACGGAGCGTATCGTTACTACCATTATTGGACACAGTAGAGGAGGTAACGTGGTGCTCCTCTACGCCTCCAATTATGGTAATATCCGCAATGTGATCAATATATCTGGACGTTATGATCTGAGAAAGGGCATACGTCTTGGAGATGGCTATCTGGAAAGAATCAAGGAACAAGGATTCATCGATGCTAAAGAGGGCAAATCAGAGTTCCGTGTCACCCAAGAGAGCTTAATGGAGAGGTTAAACACGGATATGCATGAAGCTTGCCTCAAGATTGAGAAAGAAGTCAGAGTCTTGACTGTTCATGGATCAGGTGATAAGGTAGTACCAGTGGGAGATGCCGAGGAGTTTGGAAAGATCATACCCAACCACAAGCTCGAGATTTTGAAAAAAGCTGACCATGGTTATACCAAGCACCAAAACCTACTGGTTTCAACTGTTATGGAGTTCATAAAGTGACAGTCATTGAGAAACTATTAGTCTTTTTCTTTTTGTTGATTTCAATTGGATGTATTGTTTCCCTAATAGATGCTGTTTACATGAAAGTTATTCAATACTTATTGAACCACGTTTTCCTTAAACAAACATTGAACATATTGCAAACATCATGAACATATACTTACGAAGAGGTTTATTATTTATTTTATATAGATATAATGTTGACTTGGGAGCTGTGTGGTGGATGTGGAGATGCGATGCCAACGATATAAGGAGGACTTAAGGAACAGGGCATGCCTCAATGTTCCAAATCTCTTTGGCATACTGAGCTATTGTCCGGTCGCTGCTGAACTTTCCTGACCCGGCTGTGCTCATTATCGACATCTTCAGCCACCTCTTCCGGTCCCTGTCACAACACATTATGGTAGTATTTTCATATTAAAGAACTGAGTAATCATTGCAGAAGCTGAGGTTATGAATGGTAAGTTGGGGTATTAAGGAGATGGACTTACTTGTAAGCTTCATCAACTTTGGCCTGAGCATCCATGTAGCTCGCAAAGTCATACCCAACCAGGAAGTAATCACCACGTCCATAACCTGTGTTTCCCTCAAGAGAATCAAGGAGCGGACCGTAATCGTAGGTTCCAAAGACTCCACTTTTGGCAAACTGCTTCGCCTCTTCAAATCGAGGATCCGGTTTGAACTGATAAGTTTTCACAGGCACAAAAACGTTTCATGTCAGAGGAAATGCAGAGGCATATGATGATTTCACTTTAAAGGCTCTTCACGGATAAAAAGAGAGAGTAACATACGAGTCCGTCTTCTCTTTCTTTACGCAGACGAGGGACCTGATCGGCTGTTGCACCAAAAAGAAAGAAATTTTCTTCCCCAATCTCCTCTCTTATCTCCACATTAGCCCCATCAAGGGTTCCTATGATAAGGCAACCGTTGAGAGCGAATTTCATATTGCTTGTACCACTTGCCTCCATGCCTGCTGTGCTGATGTGCTGAGATAGCTCACTTCCGGGAATAAGCATCTCTGCTACAGTCACGTTGTAGTTTGGAACAAATACAACCTGGAGAGTCATATCTGTTAGAGTTTCTTAAACAAAACCATGTTCAGAACAATAAAAGGAGCAACAGTGATTTATTGCATTTTCATCCGCATGGCTACGATAAGAACACTTCACTTTCTGCAAGGAGTGTTTTGTAACACTAGACTTAACCAAAAGAAACAAAATTCATCATGTTAGACGCAAACATGTGTAATACTGACATTTAACAGATTATCAGCATTCTCAAGCACGCAATCATTATCAAGCAAGCAAGCAAGCATCAAAACGTTTCTAAGTTGAATCAGGCGATGTTACCTTCAGGTATTCATTGACCTCTGGATCGCTGTTAACAACGTCGCCCACATCATTCACTAGCTTCACAATCCGTTTTGCATTTGTATACGTTGCAAAGGCTTTACCCCCAATCATGATCGTACGAGGAGTTGTTTTCTTCCTTTCCTCAGGCTTCATCTCCTGTAAAATTCAGTTGCATAAAATAATTGCATACAATTAATACATACATGATACATTGCCTAATAAGCTTGAAACTTATTTTTGTTTTGGAAATTGCCCGAAAAAATGGATTATTGAACTTTGTTAAACTGTTCTAAATATCCTTAGGTCTATCATAAGTCACAACTTAAACCAAATGCGGAAAGATAGTTTAGCCGACTGTACCTTTAGTTTCTTGAATCTGTATATTACTCCTAGAATGTTCATAAGCTGCCTCTTGTATTCGTGGATACGCTTAACTTGTATGTCAAACAAGCTGTTTGGATCAATACTCACACCAGTCACGCGCTCTATATACTGAGTCAAACGTTGCTTATTGGCCGCTTTTGCAGAAGCCCACTCAGACTGGAGTTCTTCATTGTCCGCAAACTAGCAGAAGAAAATATAACATCAGAAAGACAAAATTAAACCAGATTCCAGATTTGGTTCTCAAGTGAATAAACATCTGACCTGCCGAAGCCCAGTTAGTAGGTCAAGATCAGTGATCCATTTGTCAGTCTTCAACCACTTTGTGATTATATCACTGAGCTCAGGACTGCAGAAACGAAGCCACCTTCGGGGTGTGATGCCATTAGTCTTGTTTTGAAACTTGTTTGGCCAAATAGAGACATAGTCCGCGAATAACTCATCCTTTAAGATATCACTATGCAACTGAGCAACGCCATTCACCTGCAAAAGCACCCCCATAGTGACCACTTGAAACCAAAAATACAGACTAATTTGCCTCTGCGAATTGTGATGGAAGATGTCTCAAACTTGAAAGAGTGACCACTTACTGTGTGCGACGATACAACACATAAGTTAGCCATTCTCACAACTGGCTTCTGCGGATTGTTATCTAAGATGCTCAAACTTGAAAGCTTATCCTCGAGATCTACCCGCGTGCTGCGAATGTTTTGCACAAACTGCAGAAAGGTATATGTCCAATTAGTGCAACAGATTACAGAAACAAGAATATTGTAAAAGCGCAGAAAAGTACCCTTTTATCAATTTCTTCTATGATCTCCATATGACGAGGAAGAAGCTTCCACATCAAAGACTGTGACCATTTCTCCAAGGCTTCAGGGAGGACAGTATGATTCGTGTAAGCAACGGTCCTGTAAACTTTAAAAGTAAGTCCCAATAGAAAGAGTGGAATTTTTTCTCTGCAAAGATGAATGGTTAAATGCATAAATGTCATACTTTGATGTCACATCCCAAGCTTCATCCCATCCAAGTCCATTGTCATCCATTAGCAATCGCATAAGCTCAGGGATTGCAAGAGTTGGGTGTGTGTCATTCATTTGAACAGCAACTTTACTAGGAAACTCTGACCATTTACGGCTGCCTTCGCCGGTGCTCCTCTCGTTAAATCTTGATATAATATCCTGCAATAGGTTTTTATATATTATGAAAAGATTATCATAGTGAATCAGCTAAAAGAAATTATGTCAGTTGACTTGTATTTTCAAGTTAATATACAATATGGCTTATAAAAGAAGAATGTGACAGGAACCTACAAACAAGTTGACAAACCTGAAGCGAAGCACTGCAGAGAAAGAACTGCTGTTTCAACCGTAGAAGCTTCCCATTCTCGGTAGCATCCCCTGGATATAACACTGTGCAAATCTGCATACACATAAATTCATTGTTACAGAAAAAGAAACAACACAATAGAGAAAAGGTGGAGTTTATGTAGTGTAGAGATGAGAAGTTATATATAACCTGTTGAGCACGAGAATGTAGCTGTGCAGCCAATTCATATTCTCCTTCGTTGAACTGAAAAAGGTCAAGGTCCTCTGCTCTAGCTTTTGCTTCCCAGAGGCGGAGACTGATTGTGTTCTTCGTTTTGAATCCTGGGATTGGCACATCATAAGCAAGAGCTTGTACAACATCACCGCCTACCCACTTCCTTCTGCAAATTGACCATTGAAATGGTTAAATATCAAGCTCAGAGAAAAGTCAACAAATTTCACTAGTGTAAGCGCTAACACTAAAACTTACGATCCATCCGGATTTATCTGCACACTGCCGAAAAATCTGACAGGGAATACAACATCATGCCTGACAATCTCCCACGGGCTGAATTTCTGAAAATTCCCAATCAAAAGACGCTGAGTTAGAGTCTCAGAAAAAAAAAACGCAAGATACTGAAGCCACCAAAGTAAGACAATCATTACCTCAAGCCAGTCCTCAGGGACCTCTTCTTGGCCTTTCTTAGTGATAAGTTGCTTAAAGAGGCCATGTCTGTACCTCAAACCATAACCCCAAGCAGGCAAATTGAGAGTGGCCATGGAATCCAAGAAGCAGGAGGCAAGTCTCCCTAAACCACCATTTCCCAGAGCTGCATCTTTCTCCTGGAATTTACCAAAACATAAACATCTCCAACGGCGAGATTAATTTTTTTCTTTTTTTTTAAATCAAAGTCTTGAAAGAGAACCTGTTCAGCAATCTCCTCAAGCTCGTAACCAAGCTTACGTAGAGCATCAGCATATGGACCTTGAAGGTCCAGATTCCCAATCGCATTGGTCAAAGCACGGCCTTGGAGATACTCCATTGACAAGTAGTATGTTTGCTTTGGATCGACTTTGTGAAAATGAAGATAAGTCTCATTCCACAGCTACAAAACAATACACACAATCCACGTGTTCATGTTCACTCAGCTTTAAAAAATAACTACATCGCATAGTAATCTACTTAAGGTTACCTGTATGAGACGATCGCGGAGGCTCTCTGCAGTAGCGTAGAGAGCTTGCTCGGGACCGAACTTCAAAGGAGAGAAATGAGGACTGAACTTGGCGTGGTAGATGATATTCCCGGCGATCTCCGTAGCTTCATTGGCCTCCGGATTCGCCTTCTCTGAGATTTTGTCTGGAAAACCAGTCGCAGCCTTCCCATTGGCGTTTGCCATCGCCGAATCTCTGGAAAGAGATGAAGGGATACTGCAGAGCTTATAAGCACACAAGATACTATGGCGTAGGGAATCTGCTGAAGATAGGAAAAGAGTATATACTAAAAAAGAACGGTGGACGAAGAAGAAGATATTTATCAAGCTAAAAGTGACAGAAACGTAATTTTCGTCTCTTTTTTTATTGCTTCACTGTTGTTTTTTTGTTTTTTATGAGATTTGATTCTCTTTTCTTGCAGAAAATATCACAAAGGATTGAAAGTGTGCGGATCACAAGAAGAGAGAGAGTGAAGTGTGTGTATGAGGCAAGGAGCTCCGTAGAACTACTTTTGTATCCATTACTGAAAATATCTAGTAGGAATCCCCTACATCTATTTGTTTTTTAGTTACCAACACCCTTAATATTGTTTTTGTTTAAAGAACACCCTTGTATTTCTTCGTACTGGGAGTGGGGACCATGCATCATTTTCTAAATATTTAATAAGAATTAAATATTGGTAAAGAGTGTAAACATTCAATAAGAAATTTGTTTAAATGTTTTCTACAGGATTAGATGGAAAAAGAAAAAAAAAAAGAATCAAGAAGGGAGATTCTGGAGTTTTACTTTAAACAGTTTGGCAAGGAAAGGGAAGCAATCTGAGTAAAAAGCCAAACGTAGCGGGTCGGTTACAAGTAACTGAGGGAAGTGAGACATTATTACTAACCCGAGGCACACGTGTATGCGAGTAGGGAAAGTGTGAGCACTTCAAGGTCTCAGATCACGGATCTACACACCTGCAACACTTGACTTTTCTCTATTTCCGTGCAACTTTTACGCATTGAGTGGTTCGATCAATTCACTTCAACTTGCGTGTATAATCTTCACCTATTTGCGTTTGTTACACATGATTATATGGGCATTCTAGATGAAAGTCGTTTGTATCCGATACATTCGTGGTGGTCTTGCTAAAGAAGAGGTTGACATTTAACAATGCTCTCGTCACCAGTCAACTTAGCAGAGATCATTTGCTTACTGAAGACTTATTTCATAAAACTTACAGACTAGCATTGTAAATTCGATACAATTAAGTATTTCTCGCTTTACTTACCAGTCATTGTATGTACTCAGAATGTTTAAATTGCCAAACTTTCACACTACCTGGCGATATTCTTTTTATTTATCGTGTTACATAACTATGCACACACTTGCCAAATCTTTGATAAAATGTTTTAACTCATACTTACTTAGACTATCAATTAGTGTTGAAGTTGTATTTGCAAACTTTTTCACATAAACGTTTCTTTTATTCGTGAACACTGAACCAGTAGAAAAGAAGAAGGTACATATATATTTTCTAGATACACGGCAGATTCACCTCTTTCCTGATACTTACTTGGACAGAAGACTCTATGTAGAGTTTTCAGCTCCTCTACTGGCTGATCCATCACCACCTATTATTAACTGAATTTGTGGTCCTTCAACCTGCCATAAGACCAACATTCACCATTAACACTTATCCAAATTACTGGAACAATAACTGCAAAATGTATGAACAAACACGAAATGCAAATAACCCAACCCGGAGTATAAGAAATGGGACGTACCTGTTGCGTCAAAATTTACTCTTTCTCCAGTTGAATATATGTTGTAAAAGAGAGCAGAGAGGAGATATAAAGTTGCCGTAAGAAGGATGAATCCTTGGAAGGATCCCAATAGTTCTACAAAGAAACCAGCTCCAACTGTACCAACTATTGCAGCCAATGTCCCAGCGGTAAGACACATTCCTATACACAAGGCCTAAACGGTCAGAAAGTATTTTGGTCTGATGTTTCGAGATCTCCTATTGATTCTAAGGCCACTATTTACTTTCTCAAATTAGCTATCTGTCTTTAACGAACTCTGAAACCACTGTCTACGGAGGAGAATTAGAAAGTGTACCATGTAGGACACCGGAATATTCTGGAGCAATTTCCTGAAGGCAACAAGAGAATATAAATGTTAGAGAAACTCAAGATTTGTACACTAGAGAATGAATCACACAGTTGGCTACCTGAAGATTGATCAAAAACCCCAGGTGGCTGAATGATTTAAGCCCAACGGCTAAGCTTAGCCAGGCAGATGCTATTAAAGGTCGTTTTGCTGTAGTTAAACCAATGAGAGCAATCCCAGGACCAATGAAACCTATGGACTGCCAAAACAAAGGATGAAATCCTCCCAGTCAACAAAAGAAACCTAAAAGCATCAGACTTCAACTTTAGTCTGATATGTATACATAACTCTTCCAGTCCAAGAGACCTCTTAGATTGAATGTAATCTTTTAATCACAAACCTGCATGATTTTCCGCGTTAAAGTGATGCTTGTACCACGTCGTATCAACAAGTCCGACCAAAAACCAGCAATGTATCCTGTAAAAGCCATCATACTCCATGGAACAGCACTAAACCAAGCAGCTTGTTTGAGGTTCACATGATATACCTGCAGCACGTTATATCACTCATGAAGACTAAAAAGAACAGCAACACATTTACAATTGTTTCTTGCTAGGGCCTTACTGAATTGAAGTAGATCGGCATCCATGAAAGAAGCACAAAAAAACCCTGTAAACAAGCCATTTACAGTTACACTTGTACAAGAAAAATCAAGACAATTTCCTCAAACTAACAAGAATGAATACATACATACCCAGCTATGCATGGCATTTCCAACTATAACAGCCCAAGTCGGCATCTTGGACAGTAGGCGTCTAAAAGGAGGGATTACTCCCGTGGTGTTTCGTTTGTTCACCCTAGTAGATGGTTGCTGCTTGTGCATTATGTACTCGAGTTCAAACTTTGTAATCTGAGGATGTCGATCTGGTGTACTTGACGTAGCAGAGAGCCAAACGAGCATCCACAGGAAACCCGATAACCCAAAAATAACAAATGGGCCATATATACCGCCTTGAGACATGAGAATAGGAGACAACATGAGTCCAACAACATTCCCAAGCTGAAACCCTGCCATTGCAATACCAACAGCCCTAGAACGTTCTGTTGGAGGAAACCACCTACAAAAAAATTGGTACTTTCACTATTATGCATATGTGTGTCTTGTATCTATCACATTTTTGACGCAGTAAAATAAGAGTACCTTGCAACCATGTTGTTCATGCAAGGAAGGGCCACTCCTTCAGCAACCCCAACCATAGCTCTTGCGGCAAGCAAAGCCCACAAAGAAGTATCAGCAGCCCAAGGGGTAAGGAAAGTAGCTAAGGACCACAAAGCTACTCCCCACGCCATGATTACCTTACCGCCATAACGGTCCACTAAAGTTCCGCCAGCTATTGGTGAAATTAGGTATCCCCACAAGAAGGATGACTATCAAAGAAGCAAGCAAGTAAAAGAACGTATAAGACTCAAAACGATAACAATAGCGACAAGTTCAAGAACTTAAAAGGTTCGTCATATAACCTGAACGATACCGGAAAAGGACTTGCTCCACCCTCGAGAAAGAGAGAGAGGCACAATCGCAACTGACATCACGACGCGGTCCGCATTGCATAGCGCTAAGGCAAGCGCGAGCATCGCGACTACTTTCACCCTCTCCGATGTTATAAACTCCGAAAAATTAGGTTGCTCTATCTCCGCCGATGTATCTTCCGGCGTACGGCGGGCATCGCTGCAGTCCACTCTTAATCGATGGCGACATAGATCCACGGAAGTGTTTCCGAAGAATCTGAATGATTCGACGCCTCCACTGCGGCAGAGGAGCAACCTTCCCCGACGATCTCGCTTTGGGAAGCCGAGGTTCGAAGTCAAGATTGGTCGATCTCCGTGGACTTTAAGGGCGCTGCGATAACGGAAGTCTAGTGAAGATTGTAAAGAGAGAGAGTGACACATTTTCCACCTAGCTGACCTGCTTATTGGCTTAAAGAGAGAGAGTGACACATTTTCCACCTAGCTGACCTGCTTATTGGCTTAGTGTTTTGGTTTAGTAAAGACGAAGAAGAAGATGCTCTGTGTGTAACCGATTGCAACACCCAATTCGCGCGATGCAGGGGAGGGGAGTGGCACATCCGTAAATAGACAGCGAAATGAATAGTTATGTACTTTCATCCTCTCGCTAACTTTTATGAATTATTATTATCAAGGGCCCATTGATTTTGTAGAAGGCCCATGTTTATTATTTGTGGGCTAGTTAGCATGATTGCTATTTAAAAAAACGCCTTACATCAAAATTATTTAAAAAATATTATATGGAAAAATAAATCTATATTCTTGAATTAATATTTTGGTATTTAAACATTTTTAAAAAAAAATTCTTATACATAATTTGTTTACTGATGGGCTGATCTCATTGTTAAATATGTTTTAGGTCAAAATATCATTTACCGCAAAGAACCTAACATTTAGGTAAAAAATTCTCGGATCTATTTGGTTATAACGAAACTATGTCAACTCAGTTTTATATCATGATTTAGCAATTTAAAAATTAATTATGGTTATGAGAAGTTTATGTCCACGTGCCAATCCTATCTATCTTCAGTATTTTCTCTTTTTGTGTCTTTTTCATTTGGTTATTGGTCAACATAAATATTGATTTTGAAGTTTATTCTCATTTCGTTTGTTTTTTTTGGCCTAAGATTTTGATAATGCTTAAGATATAAAATAATTAAAGAGATACATACTTATATTAAGATTTGTACTTTTTGCATAATAAGTATTTTATATTTATTGATTTTTTATGTTTTTCTGCATATTATGAAATAATAAAATAATAAATATATATTAAATAACTAAGAAATCATTTACTACTTAGGGTGTGCATAAAAATTTAGCGATCACTCTTGTTTATTAGTTAGGGTAAATAAATCAAAACAATTAATCTTATCTATCGTAGATGATATATAATTAAATTTAAATGATATTAACATAGATATGTATTAACATAAAACCTATTAAAATAAAATTATTTCTTCATATGCTATTATAATAATTGTATCTTAATATAAAAAAAAATTGAACGTTGATCCTAAAAGCTTATGTGAGACTTTTAACAATTTTAGTAATTTATACTCGTTTTGAAAAATTCGAAATACAACTTACACAGAAAAAAATCTAGATTTTGATTATTGATTAATGTAATTGTGTAATTTATTTTAATAATAAAGGAATAAACAAAATGATGAAAAAAATACAGATTGTTATCAAATCTTTAATGTTTAAAATCATTAATTGTCATATATATATATATATATATATATATATATATATATATTTTAATCACATTAGGTAATTCCGTAGGTTTTATTTAAGAAAAATCTGCGGAACAATAAATATTTGATATATGCTACCAATTATTGTCTGTGAAATATTATATTGGTAAATAGTATAATTTTTAGACTATAGTTTATACAATGTGCTCTAGAATCTTTCTAAATTGAATTAGAAGATATAAAAAACTGCAACATATGATGGGATTAATTTTTTAATTAATACAAAATTAAAATTACATCTTTTCAAATATTTTTCAATTAATATATAAGAGATAAGTTAGCATGATAGCTGTTTACAACAAAATATCATAAATCAAGATATTTAGCTCTCACACTAGTGATACCATCTTACTTAAATTTGGAACATTGAGAAGGATAACTAAATTCACAGAAAATTATTATTATTATTATTGTCAATAATTATTAAATTTAAATTCATATATATATTATAATTATTTATTTTTTAAAATATAAGAAAACACGAAAATCTAATAATTTAACAGAAAGGTATTTAAACCATTCGGTTTTTATTTAGTCTTTACAGCTATGGTACTACTGTATTTTTATTTTACTTTACCCTCGTTAATTCGTTATACCTTGACCGTGTCATTGAGTGACAAAAGAACTAAAATAAAAATTAACTGTCACTGTCACTGTATCTGGGAGGAACACGTGGGAGATTCTTATCTTTATCAGAAAATGAGAGCAATTACAATAAATCTGTAGATGTCGACAAAAAGAAAAAGGTAGTATATTGATAGTAATAACATAAAACACTGTTTGTTTTGTCTTTGGGAATTACTATGTTTTTGAAGAACACGACTCTTCTCTTGGGAACTTGGTCGTAGCTCCGAATCTCTATGTTACTCGTGCTGTCCAATTTTACTTACGGCCGTACTTTCAATAGATTCCTTTACAAACTCGTAATTAATTCAGAATATTTATTAGCCACCTACATATTTGTGCATATGTGTAGTTCTAGTGAAAGTGGAAAGATCTAAACGTGTATTAAACCCAATCTCGATCTAATATAGTAGTACACGACATCATACAGACTGAAGATAATCGGTTAAATATTTGCGAGTACACAAGCACAGGAATTACTATTAGATTGCACAAATAAATTCATTATAACATGTTTCGGTAATTACGTGTCATCACTATATTAATTCTTTAAATCTTAAAAAATAGGTTGATCAATGTCAACCTATAATATATTTTTTATTAAATTAACTATCAAACTAGTTAATAATATATAAAATAATATTTATATTTTTTTCTTAAATAAAAGCTATTGGATTATCTAATATAGTTAACAAATATATGACAGTTCATGATTTTAAATAATAAAATATTTAATAACAATCTATAGTCAATCATTTTTTAATTTTATATTCTTAAGAGAAATTAAACAATCACATTAATCATATAATAACAAAATTATATTTTGTCTTATATGCTATATTTGTAAAAGATTATAAACTACTAAGACTGTTAAAAATATATATTGAAAGTTTTATGATCAATGATTTAATTTTTTGTTATAATAAGATACAAATGAACATAAAATCATATAAATATGAAGTCTAATTTAATATATTTTCAGAATAATATATATTCATAGTAATATATATATATCAGTACCATTTAAATTAGAATATATAAAATACATAAACTTGTTAATTTCAAAATTTGCATTGAGTAGAAAGCATCAATTAATAAATATTCATATTAAAAAGTAATATTTTTGTTACAGTAAATACAAAAATGTTAATAAAATTATATAAGTATGAAGTCAATTATTAAATAATCATATTAAAATATACTATATATTAATGTCAATATCATTTTATCTTAATAGATGATTAAAATAAAATAATTATTTTTCTTTTTACGAATAATTATTATTGTAAATACAAAGAGAGATTGTGTTTTATTTATGTGCTAACTTCAATTTAATTATATATGTAACAGTTACTTGTTTCTCAATTATACAATATATTTATTGTTACATAATACGTAAATGAAGACAAAATAAATAATAATATATATAAATAATTTGTATACTTAATTAATGTTTATTCTGTGCAAGCGTTGATCTCAAATGTTATTTGACCATATCATTTCAAAAAATACAGTTGTCTATATCGAAGTGAGATACTGAATTATAACATCCTCATGATATTATTGAGGTCCAATGTAAATTAAATAGGTTTAAAAATACAAAATATAACCAAATATGACGATACTCATCAACTTATACTGACGGTTTATGACTATATATTTTTGGGACTTATGACATGATGGTTGCACGATCAAAATTAATCTTTAATAATTATTAATTTATAAATTTTACTTTGTGCATGCGTACCAATTATCACTTAGATTTTGTTGTTATATGCTCTCTTAAACATAAATATTTTTAAAGTAAACTAGATGCATTATTAAGTGCTACTATACTAAATATTTTAAGATATTTTGCTGGAAAGTCTGATGTCCTCCGAAAATCAAACATTTCTTATGGAAAATTGTCTCAAGATATATAGCAGTCAAGAAAGTTTTAAATAGAAGAGGAATTAAAGGGGACATATGTTACGCTCGCTGTGTTAACCAAGAGGAATCAGTGAACCATGTTATTTTTTGAATGTCTACCAGCGGTGCAAGTGTGGCCATCTGTTTTGGAGAGTTTTCAGAAATATGGATCATTTGTTTTGGAGAGTTTTCCCACAAATGGAGAATCATCAATTTACTTGGATCTTATGATATATCTGGAAATGGAGGAACAACAAGACTTTTGGCAACGTAGATATTGATCCAAAAGATACTCTCAAAGTGGCGGAAACAGAATCACTCCTTTGAGCTGAGGCACAATTGACACTTACTCAACGGATACCCCAAAGCAGAGGAACAGAGGTTACAACCTTACCACATATTTCTGGTAGATGGTGTTTTATAAATGGGTCATGGAAAGATAAAGAGGTATATTCAGGACAAGGTTGGCATAGTACCTTCGAGAGCTTCGAAGGTTTATTGGGGGCACGAAATACCCGTGCTAGTCTTTGTCCACTTCACTCCAAACTGGAGGCACTTATTTGGGAAATGGAATGCATGAGAAATTTACGTCAATATCATGTCACATTTGCAACAAATTGTTCTCAATTGGTGAAGATGAGTTTCAGAACTAGAAAAATGGCCAGCTTTTGCAAGCTATTTAGAAGACATCAAGATCTTGAGAGACAGTTTTCACTCCTCCAAATTTCTCCATATATTTACAACGAGGAATTCAAGAGCCTTACACGAAATGCTAAAAAACAACCGACCTTCATCGTTCATATGGATTCAGAGTTCCCCGATTGGTTTGCAAATCGTGTGATTTTATTGATGACAAAAAAAAAATACTAAAGTTTTTCCCTTTGTATTAGAAGATTCAGTTATAAATACAAACTTTTAATAAACATGATAAATTTTTTTTTTTTTGTAAAATGGAGAGTTTAGACTAATCTCCCAGCATATACTATTTTATCAAACAACAAAAAGAAAAAAAAAATTGACTTTGACTAAGTGAATTTGGAAGGGAATCCAAAGAGTTGACACCAAACACAAGCTGCCAAATAGTTTACTAATGGAACTCAAACTGGAACATCATTTCAGTTAATACGACTTTAGTTCTGTTCTATATCAGTTTGATACGAGAGTATCGGAAAGAAAATAAAACAAAGAAAAAGGGGTTTAAAGAATTTCCATAATTGACCTTGATGGTCTACGAGGATCCTCTGAAAATAGACTGACCCCATCAACTTCACTCTCACTCTCTCTCACTCTATTAACTCTCAAGTCACCGCCGCAGCAGCGATTAACGAACCTCCTTTTAAGCCATGGCCCACCTCAAACAATCCAACCGCCGCCGCTCCTCCTCCTTATGCCCCCGTCACCCATCCGTCAAACCTTCCAGCGGTTTCTGCGCCTCCTGCCTCCGTGAACGCCTCGTAATCATAGAGACTCAATCTTCCTCCCCAGCCGCCGTTCAACCCCCACCCGAGCTCCGTCGCATCCGATCCCACTCCGTTCGGAACATATCCGCCGCATCCATCTCGGAGCAGCCGCGACGGAGATCCTGTGACGCTAGGTCAAGCGCGAGCTCTCTCCACGCCCTGTTCGTCGGTGACGACGAAGAACGTCTCGATCACTCGATTCGAAAACCAGTGGTCCCAGATTTGAAAGAAGAGGAGGAAAAAGAAGAAGAAGAAGATTACTACGACGGAGACGATATCAAAGGTTTTGATGATGGAAAACCAAAGAAACTCGTTAAAGAAGAAAGTGGCGAGCAGAAGAAGACGATGAAGGAGTTTATAGATCTGGATTGGGGAAGCCAAATCAAGAAGAACAACTCTTCGATTTGGAGCAGGAAGCTGAAGAGATTCTCACTGAGTCATCATCACAAGGAGAGGAGAGAAGACGAGGCTCTCGCCGGCCGTCGTCGCTCCTGTGATGTAGATCCTAGATTGTCTCTCGACGGAGGTAGGATCTCGTTCGAGAAACCTAGGGCGTCATGGGATGGATGTTTGATCGAGAAATCATATAGTAAGCTCACGCCATTGTCAACTGTCACGGAAGCCTTACCTGAGAAGAGAGAAGAAGAAGTGGAGGAGGAGGAGGAGAAGAGTCCAGGCGGGACAGTTCAAACGAGGAACTATTACTCTCGAAGAAGAAGCTTTGACCGATCCATTTCGGTCAAGAGACAAGGATTGCTCGAGGTTGATGAGTTGAAATCTATCTCCAACGCAAAGGTATCACCTGAAACCGTTGGATTGTTTCATGGCGCTAAGGTATTGGTTACAGAGAAGGAGCTTAGGGATTCTAATTGGTATTCCATCAAGAATCATAAACCAGAGAGCAAAGAGTTTGTCTCTAAAGGAAAGATTTGTGTAGCTGCTAGTGAGAGGAAGCAGGATAGTTTAGAGTTTAAGAAACCTAAAAAGAAATGGGCAAAGGGATGGAACCTTTGGGGATTGATTCAGAGGAAGAATAAGGAAGTTAAAACCGAGCAAAGTTTGAAACTTGAAGGGAACGCGATCGAGGGTTCTCTGGCTGAGTCTTTGTTAAAGCTTAGGAGAGTATCTAAAGGAGAAACCAATGGTGGTGTTAGTGAGAAGCTTTTGAAAAGCTACAGTGTAAGCGCTAGAAAGTCTTGTGACGGTGTGTTTAGTGGTGATAATATTGCCAGTGGCTTTGAAGGTGGAAGGAGCTCGTGTGATGGTCTGTTTCATGGATCTATTAACAGTGTTGAGGTCGGGAGAAGCTCGTGTGACGGATTGGTTAACAGCATTGAGGCCAAACAAAGTCATCATCTTAACCAGAGAAAAGCAATTGATGGCACCAGAGAAAACCTTGACAACAGTTTGTTAAGATTGTATTTGACTCCGGTAAGGAGCCATAAGGCTAGCAAATCAGGAAAGAGTAGACTGATGAGTTAGTTTAATCTGAGATTGTGTTAACCCATGAATACTCTGTGTAGTCAGCAACTAATATATCTGTTATTTTGGTCAATATAAATATGTGAACGAAGATCCTATTGCCATTCTGTTCATACAGTTGAAAATCCTTAGTTTCAGCTAACTAAGGAGCTCAACTTTGTTGTTTAGATATGTTATAGACGTCAATTGCGTAGATCTATCTATTTGGTGTATATATCAGCTTTTATATTTTCCGGTGTCTGGTCAATTTGTGATGCCAAAGTTAAATTAATGCACATAGCCATGTTCCCCATTTCAGTTACACAAAAATGTATTTTTGTAAGAAAAAATTCATAAAAAATTAAAAATGCTCCAAATAAACAAAAGAAACTTTTTTTTTGATAGTCAAACTTTTGCTGTTATCCATTTTAATTTTTGAACTAATCTTAGTTTTTAGTATAGAAATTCACTAGAATGATTTTTCACCAAAAGAATTTCCAAAGAGGAAAATAAGCAAAAAATGTTTTATTAAAAGATAAATAGACATTTATAAAAATGTGTTAAAATAATAATATTATACATTTATTTCCGATAGATTGTTTCTCACGTAAAACACAATTTTTTTTTGTATATACAAATCCTTTTAGTATAAGCTTTAGTATAAAAATGTGTGATAGTTTATATTTCTTTTAGTATGAAATTTCCTTTAAGTCAAAGTACAAAACTGATCATTATATCATAACTCAAACACTTTACAAGATTTGAGATAAGACACAACTTAGTTAAGATATTTTGTTAGATCAAGTTCTAGTTTGATTACACAATCTAAGAGATTCGTTGAGGCAAATGAGAGTTTGACTCCATGGTAGCATAGTTCTAGTGTCAACTCCTAACAATTTGGTTCTAGTAAAACTATTTGCAACTGAAAAGAAAAAAAAGATAAGTGAAATGAATCTTTTGAATATTACAAGTTAAAATGAAAAAAAATATTGGATATAAGATCAATTACAAAAAATAAATATTGGATAAAAATATAACTTAAGACCACAACTTAAGATTGTACTAAAAGTGTGCCAACATTTCAGAAAATAAAGAAATCACATCACCTTAGGTTGAAATTGGACAAAGTGTTTGGCCTGTCAATGATAAAATATTAATTAGTCTTCATCACGAAATTTGGTTTTATTTTTAGTCTTTAAACTAGGAAAAATATTTAATTTTGTGACAAACTCAATTATGAGCTCCAACAAATCCGACGAGCTTTGACAAACACAGAAAAGCAACAAACATGAAAAAATCTCAGTGAAAGAGATGATATACTTGAAAAAAATAACATCAAATCTAAGGTAATGCTTTGTTTTTTCTCTTTATTCTTACATAAAAATTCATAACTTCACCTTTATACTTCAATGTTGCACAATTTATAGTTGTGCTATTTCTCTTCTTCATATTGACTACAATTGCAAGCCAATACTTTTCTTTTACTACAAGAGCCAAATAGAGAAAGTATATATTCTTATCGATGTTGTACTTATTAAACTAATTTCTGAACTTCAAGCATTCCTTATCTTCTAAAAACTTATCATAAAGTTCATCTATTTCTTTCAAAATTTTCAAATGCAAAGCTTCTACAACTGGAGTCTCGTGCCTAAAGAAAGATCTGTCTACAAACAGAGAAAAAACAGAGAAAGCTTCCATACTTAAAGTTCTTATAGATATCATTGCATACAAGTCTTGGAACCATCATCTAGAGAAACTATCATCGTTTTGACAAAAGCATAGTGTCCATAACATCTTTCATGATAGGAAGCATTGCCAATGAACCAGTACAATAACAAAAGCTAACAAAAGTAATTATGCTATAAAAATTGGTCATATAAGAACAAATGGTGTGTATTATTTACCTCCATAAATGATAACCTCATAGAGTGTTTCAAGCCAACTTCACCTAACTAGAACATTCACCGGAAGACCCATATAATATAACGTAATAAGCTTAAACGTTCAAAAACTTAAGCTGGAAAAAACTAAAAATAAAATCTTCATGATGGTTCCAAGACTCGTATATAAGGATATCTAAGAACCCCAAGTATGGAAGCTTTTCTTTGTTTGTAGACAGATTCTTCTTTAGGCATAGAGTTTCAGTTATAGAAACTTTGCATTTCAAACTTGGTAGTTGCACAATTTATAGTTGTGCTATTTCTCTTGTTCATATTGACTATAATTGCAAGCCAATACTTTTCTTCAATTACAAAAGCCAAATAGAGAAAGTATATATTCCTATCTATATTGTATTTATTAAACTAACTCCTGAACTTGAAACCTTACTTGTCATCTAAAAAGTTATCATAAAGTTCATCTATTTCTTTCAAAAAATTTTCTCCAACAGTTAAAGCATTTTTTTCAGAAACAAATGTGATTGTTCTCTTTTTTATTCTCGACAACTTCAGACATGTTTCAATATGCTGAAATCAAAATAATAAATAGGCAAAAAGAAAACTGACATATAATTCCGTTTAAAAAAAATAGAATAAATTTATAGTGATCGTAAAAAAGTTTTTCCATAGAATCTAACAATTTTAGAAAAGACATTTACGTAAATATAGTAATTTGAATCACAAATTAGAGGAATGCTCACATTGATACTAAATGGACTTTTTGACGATTTTTTCCCCTGCAGAGGAGAAAAGGGTTGGCGCTAAGATCGAGGTGTCACAAAAAGTTGTATGTAGTTGTTTGCAGGTGTAGAGTACGTAGGAAGCTTCATCTAATAATCACCTGGTTATTAAAATGAAAGCGTACTAGATCTGTCAAAAAATAAAATATCTTCTCACTGTAAACTAAATAACAGTAAATAGATCATGCAAGCTTCACAAACATTGCATCAAGGGTGGATCAATGCTGATATACATATATATGTATTTTTTTTTGATAAAACATTGAGGATAATTGCAATGTGTATTAAACTTATTTATGTTTTATTAGTAGCTAGCGTAAACAAAAATCAAGATTCACGAGAAAATTAAGAGACAATCGAGGACAATCATGAAAATTATAAAGAATGGACTGGTATAAAGACTATGTGTTGATGGAGAAGAAAGATACCAAATGATGACAAAAAAAAAGAAAGAGACCAAATATTAAAGATTAAATTAGGATTATCGTTAACGATGAAATATTATAGAGAAGCTAATATGTTGTGTTATATATCCAATATATATTAACGGTTAACTTTTATGTTGACAAACGTTACATATCTTAGACACCATATAACTTAATAATTTAGCCGGTACACATTATGTTATCTGAAAACTAATTGGTGGTTGAATTATCTAGTGTAATGTGTAACCACTAAGACATAGTGATATATATCATCTAACATGTATGGGATAACATATCAAAAGATGTCATATAGAAATAGTATTAGACGCTAATGACAAAAAATACACCATGTAATTAAATGGTTTGCATAACGTGATCAAAATAGAATATATTTATTTCTATTTCAATTGTTAGATTTCTAAATATATTTGTATTGTGTTGGTGTACTGAAAGTTACTATCCAATGTTAATTGCTATATAAAATGTTTCGTAGGCAGTAACAATAATAAGTATTGTTAATGTAGAATATAAACAAATGAGTCTTATGTAGTTGAAAATAGAATGTTAACCTTTAATATTAAAAGTTATAAATTATATTAACGTCTAACTTTACTAGTTAACTATAACATTAGTATGCAAACAATATTGTAATTAGTACATTCGTTCAATTTTACCGATGAAAAAAATATTAGAGACAAAATTTTATAGTTAACAATTATCCATATTGTGAAACAAATAAAAAAAGTTATATTTAAATTTTATAGATAAAAAATTCTTTTAACCAAATACATAAAATGCAAAAAAAAAAAAATTAAATAACAACCAATCTGATGAAAAATTGGTTCCTCTATATAAAGACGTCGCCATTAATCTTTTTCAGAATCTTTCAACTGCCAGCAATTACGATTCCGGAAAATTATGTGACACCTAACAAATCTTGTACAAAATAGCAATAATGTATCTTACGTTTCACAGAATAGTCCCTCAAACTCTGATTCTCGACTCGGAAGCGGAAGCGAATACGGAAGCGGTAGGTGCGCCTGGAATCGTAATTGAAAGCGATTCCCAAATATTGATGACTGGAAACGTGGTGGATACACATGTTTCTTATTTGGAAGCGGTTATTTGTTAGTCGGAAACATGATATGTATTTCCAATGGCCAATGGGTTTATCAAACCAAAAGATCCAAAACGAATAAGACAAACTACTGGGACTGCACATGTATTTGTTATTTAGTTAAAATTTTTTTGGCTTGGCCCAATTTCATTTAGTCATCTAGGTTCAGTTTTGTTTTATTTTCTCACAGTATTAGAACTAATACTGTAAAATTATATATTCAAAATTTTTATCACATATATTTAATGTTCTGTATAATACTATTTGTTAAATAACTTTGATTCACTAATAGTCTATTTTGAAACTGAAAGATCATAATAATAGAGAATTATGCTTGGAATATATAGTTTCTTAGAAATCTTACAAATATAATTTAAAGATCATAAAATGTGACGTATTTAATTAATTAAAATGGACTAGGTGTTGAAAACTTAGTTTTATAAAAAGACATAGTTAGTTGTAAATATCACCGATGATGATAATTTTTTTCGATTTTGAACATAATAAATTCAGATTTTGATTATGTTATTCAATATATAATATTTTACATGATTTTTAAATGATTTTTAAAAGTCCACTTATCCGTTTTCGATTCCATGCAACATAAAGTGTATCAGAAAACAATTTATTAACTCACAACATGTATTAATCTATTTTTTAGCTAACAAACCAAGTATCAAAAATGTACAAACTCATAAACCATTTATTCAACGATTTATCATCTACACAAACAATGTGTAGATGAACATTATGTCTCTTGTAACATCATACCAGCCAATTAATAATTCTTTAGTTTCATATTATGTTTTAACTTATAAAACATGTACCGAGTAACAAATCGTTTATAAAATAGCAATAAAATTATCATGTAGCATATTAACATACAAACCATGTATCAACACTTTTTTTAGCTAACAAACCAACTATCAAACAATGTACAAGCTAACAAACTGTTTAACAAACATTTATCAGCTACACAAATTATGTATCAGTTAATGTCAAGTCTTTTGTAATATCATATT